ACGCAGTTATTTCATCATCACTAAATTAGAACTATGCTCGTAAATCATCGTTTATGAGCGTTGTTGTCACGTAGTAGTTGGCGGCTGTGTTTTCGTAGTGCTCAGTGAACGACGCGAAACATTAATCCATGATACAGTATGTATCACTGAATGCAATTTTGGTGTAGAGTAGTATCACAGATGGAGTGAAGATATTTCAAGCAATATCTTCGAGGATGAAAACATATTCAACAAATTGACCTTTGAGTAAACCCGATGCTCCTTCATTTCGAATAATCGACGTAAAGCAATGTAGTGTTCCGCGGTACTGACCAGGCGTTTGTGTTTGCAAACGGACTTTAACCGTATCTAGTGGATGACCAGCTAATACACCTGCCGCACCTGAACTCAACTTGAACCGTTAGATCAGAGATTTAACGATTATTCACATGGATACAAATGAATGATGCAGTCAGCATGATCAGACGAACGATGCTCAATATAGCATTATGATTATTTGCTCTTGAGGCAAAAATATGATTATGAAATGTCATTCGTGATATTANTCTCAAAGAATAGAGATGAGATCAAGTGGACAGATAGTGATCACCAATCAGTGACATTGTTTAAAGATCTCTTGCGGTAGATAAGAATCGATTTTGTTTTTGTGGTCATTCATCTTATAGTTAGTGAAGAGATTATTGATTATTGTTTTGTTTTTTTTCTTATTATTAATATGATTGTCGTATTGGGTGGAACGATGAAAGATAACTACTAAATCATACTGCATCATCATTATGAAGGAATCATGAATAGGTAAGAGAAATAAATCCTAATATGCCGGTAAAGATAGGTAAGGGAACTAAAAGCATGAAAAGAAGAAGTATCGTTACCTCCGAAACAACCAGCAACAAAATCCAGATATGACATTGTCAGCGCACAACGAATAATTTAAATTGAACTATACAGTAGAAAATGAACACTCTTCAAGCGACACAAGCAAATGAATGAGTGACCAGTATTGCAATCAATGGTAATATGAAACAGTTTGAGCAAATGAACTGATAACTTGAAGTACTCGTTTCACTTGAATACAGTAGAATAATGAACGCAAAAACAATTCAACAAATGTCCGTCGTTCAACAGCAAAATAAATTAGTGAGAATTTATTGGGTACAGATCAGCTAGTTGAAGGTTCCTTCACCGAAACCGATGTGAACGTGAGCGATTAAGACGTGAGCAAACAGAATGTTGAATTTGAAATTGCAGGAATAGTGATAATGACCACTTGAACGGCTCTCGATCATCCCTAATTGGAGATGCTCATTCGCATGTTCCAATAAGTGAACATTTGACTGTTTGCTGCTGATGTATTAATCAAGTAAATTTTATTGATCAGATAGATTCTGTTCGGAAATATGACAGTCAATGGGCAAGTGAATGAATGAATTAGCAGATATGGGTTGTAATCGAGAGCACAAATCGAGAAATATGAAGATGTGAAAATGTACAGTAAGAATATATCTATTTATATACGTTCGATGTGAGCATGCGACAGTGATATGGATTAGTTGATACGTTAAGGTACAATTGATGTATGACGCTTCGATGACATCTTCTAAAACCGGTAATTGGTTATTGATAGTTAGGAGGAGAATGTATTCAGTCCGCCCATAGTCTTGCGCAGATCATCTCATCATCATCTCTCATTATGAAAGGAAAGTTGCCATCGTTATCATCGAGAGAATAAGATTATGTTCGATGAGAATAACAATAAAGAAATTAAGTGACGACGTTCAAAGAAATTAAAGAACACATTAATTCAATGATGCATTATGATCATGATTTTTGAAACATGATATTATAAGTTCATCATTTTATCAAAATAACGCAATATCACAAGATTATGTGGTTGCTACTATTGTTGTCATTGGTGCTTATTTCACTTTTGCTCATTGGAACTACACCATTTCACACGGCAAATATCAAAAACACAGAACGATACGATCATTAGTCGCCTAGCATTTGGTCAAGCAGCATTCCTGCCCTTTCTTCAATCTAATCTAGTTTTTCGATGCCACGATTAAGGTTGCCATGATTAAACCACCATGAACGTTCAGGCTGAAACCATTTAACACGGACTTTGAAAAAAACTCAAAACGCAAGTGTGTCCATAATGAGACTGCAAAATTATTGATGGGAAAGCGAGCGATCGCATTCTTGCCATTATCAAAGTTATGGACTCTTAATCGGGCGATGCTTTCACGCTTAACTACAAAATTATGTCCAGTAATTGAAGCCATTTCTTGTTAAGCTTCTCGGATTCTAAATGCAGTCACTTGTGATCCCTCTTCATATAAATCATTAGGCAAGATGGGAGAGTAGCGTGACACCTCTGTGTTCGCCAAATCAGTCATCGAACCGAGTATTTCATGAAGACGGATGATTCTCAGTGCTGTTATCGTCAGCTGTTCGGAAATAAGGATGTCAAGGAAAGAAAAAGAGATATTTGTGGTATTGTTGATAACAGAGAAGTGTTAACCCGAACTTATTCGAGTGTAGACGACTCTCAGAAAAGACCATGCAATAATTTTTATTAATTGTCGAAACACATTACTTACATAGACATTTCAGATGCAAATTCATTATCACTACTATCACAATTATGATATGCAAACATCTTTATTCCATAATGAGATTTTTTCAATCTATTTTATTCGTTTTCTATGATTTTGCATACTGACCAAGTGCATTACGATTGCGGTGATGAATCATGAGGATTGATTGAAGGTGTTGCAGTTTTTTAATACACGCGAACAGGAAACTGTTGGTGCGGATTGGATGTTTGTTATGCAATATTATTTTTTCTGATCAATCGATTTTTCTCATCACTCAATAGTGCAAATCAACAACAAAGAATTTTTTCAGAAAATATTTTCAAGTAGCACGAATTTGGATTAATTTGATTATTTCAGTCGTTTGTGATGTGTCTACGACTACTGACTTGTATGCAATTTTCAAAATGGTTGAAATCATCGGAACATTTATTCGCTCTTACTTTAACTAAAATTTTTTTTCCAGATCGGTCGCGTTTCAAACACGAACATATCCCAACACACATACTCCATTATATTTACACTTCATAGCATCGTTTATTCTCCTTCGATGTTTTATGATGTCTTTAAGAAACGAAGCTTCATTAAACTCTTTCTGCTCATTATTGTGCTCTCTCTGAACTCCATCTATCTATTCTATCAAGCCACTCAGCCAAGGTTACGTGATCTGTTCTTGATCAGTTATTCACTTCATGTTCTATGACAGTTTCACTGTCGAATCATCCCTCATCGATTTTGAAATTTAGAGAATTTCTGTTCTATGATGCACAAGTGAAGAATCATTTTTTGTGCTATTATTCCAATTTTCTTGTNTGTTTGAAACACAAAATACGAAAGTCCCGTGTTTCATTTGAAAGCAGCGCCATTTTCCGTGCAATATTCAAACGTCATCACATCTGCTTGCCATTCCAGAGGTGACGAATGCTCCGATGAAGAACAACTCGAAACGGTGGATCATATCCCTTCGGAGATACCCCCAAAGTATTGTGATCACATCTCAACGGCAACACCGCAGTCCGAAGAAGTTATTCGTTTTGCTGAGAACTGGCGCTATCCATTGCCAAAAGAAGATGTGATTCTGTCAATACCGACACTTCAAGCGAGGTGTGAATCCTCATTATTCACTGAACTTATCATATTACTTTTTAACTGTAAGTGAACCAAATTTAATAGTTCTCGAATCTGATCAAAATGTGAAATTCGATCGAAACCTTGGGCATGTCGAGAACAAATAATGGGATTCTCTGAAACTTCGAAAGCCCCACCGGTTCATTGAATGATTAGAATTTTGAGACGAAATAACTTCAATATGATATAATGCAACAGAAATTTTTTTTTTCATTTTCATGGTGGTCTGATCAGTTTATTTACGAAACATGGTCATAAATCATCAGCAAACTTATTTCAATGTTTCATATTTGAGATGTGCATTCATCAAGGAGAGATTTCATTTCAATGATTCTCCACTCTCTGATGAGGAAAAAGACTTCCCTTTAGCGTACGGAATATTGGTTCATCGATGGTACATACAAGTAACATCTTTTGAGCTATTTGCCACCTTCCTTTCAATCACATTTCTTGTTCACATAACTCGAATATGTGAATTTTTTGTCATGAATCCGCAAAATTATCGCTTCCTTACCGTATCAGATACTACCTTTCATTGATGTTCTCATCTCACAATCCGTTATGAAATATTTTCTCATATCGTTTAATAAGTCATTGTCCCGCATTCTCCAGCCGAGAGCAGAACCAACGATGCTGCATAGTTTTCGTTATTTCGTTGCAAATTTCCCTATTTTTCTGATAAGAGTTAGTCAAACAAAAAAAACATCATACACACGACTCAGACTCTCTGTTGAGAATTAGAGAAATATATGGTCATCTAAAGGTGAATATAACTTTCAGGTATACTATTTGTTAAGTGCTATCTATCATCCACAAAACGCCTATTGTATTGTAATCGATAATAAGACTTCAAGAAAATTCAAGCAAACAATATTCCTGTTAGGCGAATGCTTTCGAAACGTTCAAGTCATTGTGAGTGAGGGAATTTGCTTTTTGTTTTCCATTGATTGATCACAAATGTATCGAAGTGACATTGTCATTTGGCAGCTATGCCAACGAAAAGCCATCACTCGATAAGATTCAGCGCAATTGTCGATAGTTCATTACCCGATGATAGCGTTTGCAATACTTCAGAATGGTCCTACAATACACCACTGCGGTAACAGTGTTCTTGATGCGGTACTATCGTGCCTAGGCATTTTAACAACATCCAATCATCCGTGGAAGTATTATCAAGTAGGTGATTTGTTACCGAGTTTTGACTTGTTTCTTCATTTGCTCAGAAACGATTGCACATGCACAGCAATTGAACCGTTCACTCATCCTAATTCCGTTCACAGTATCTTTCAGGAGTTGATCTTCCGCTTAGAACGAACGCTGAAATGGTGCGAATATTCAAACGTCTTAATGGATCCATAAATGCGGAAGTATTGAAAATGGTCGACGTGCGACCACTTGAGAAGTTTTACAATTGGATTCGGCCGACCGTTTGTTGCTTCTTTCATTTGATTGGCCTTAATGGAGACATAATATTCCTTCGAATAGACAGACGGCTTCCTCCACCGTCAAAAATCAAAGGAGTAATATCATGGAAAAAATATGTGATTGTTGTTGCAAAGGAAATTCAATGTCAACCGCCTAACCCAGCTGCCTTTTAAAGTCAACTTTTACAGTTTAGTGAGTGAATGCGATAGATTCTTCGCTGTCCAAAGCTATTAGTAATTCCGAATGCGAGCATCAAATATCAAATGTGAATGGCACTGCATGATGCAGCTTACGACGAAAGTTTTTTTTTGGCATTTAAATAGTCATGCATTCAAGTGAATCACTCATGGCAGGCAATCGTTACCTTATTATGTGTTCTACGGGACAAATAACCTTCAGTGTCAGAATTTCAGAACGAAATCGAACCAACTTTTGGACTGAAGCTCATAAAATCGAGTTTATCTGCAACGTTCAGTCGAGAAACAGCACGATTCTTTGTGAACAGCGCGCAGTCGAGAGCAGTACGAGCATTCTTACGTACAAAACGACTGATTTGTCCTGATGAATATTTTTGGCTCACGCTAGCCGGTAATCCAAAACGTTAGCGCTTTCTATCAGATCGCCTGTGAGTGAACAACCTAAAAACTGGTCTTCCAGTTTCATTGCATTTTTATCATTGTGCAATGACAAAAAAACTTTAGTTTATAATCTGCAATTGGCAACATGTGTTTCTTCATGCAATTTCCAAGTATTATTACCTTCTTGCTCTCAAACAAGCCCGAGTGGTAGTTGATCTGTTTGAAGATGTTAAACTACCTGCTAGTTTTGACGCCAATAAACTGTTGAATGATGTCGAGAGGAGGCGAGAAATGGATAAATTGAAAATGCCGTCAGATAATATATCCGTCCCTTATTACATCTCACGATATCAACGATGGATTGATCGATTCAACGAGATAGTCTCTGCAAAACCTTGTTATGGTAACACTGCTCGTAAACACGCACTGCATTGCACTACATGCTCTTTATTTAAGATGACTCCAATCAATCAAATTATTTTTGATTATTCGCCTATTAGTGCACTTTTGGTCAAAGTTAACAGTCGATCTTTGAAGCCATATGGTGATATCCCTGGCGCAAAAATTATGCGGCATCAAAGTATCAGTGAATGGGCGAATACAGCAATATAATTTTCTTTGTTCAAGGTCTTAGTTTATGTTAAGGTTAACACTACGGAATTTTTTCAACGTCCAAAACATTATGGGTGATAAATAATATTATGAGTGATAAATATCACTGAAGAATGAAAACAGATATTATATGATTATGAAGCAACTCGCTTGTCTCTAATAGTAAGTCACTTGCAAACGCAGACGAAGAGATTTGGTAAGGAGGGTAGCTTCATGGTTCATTGCAAAATGCTTTTTCTGATCAATTTTTCTCCTCAGGTACCTTCTCGGATGTACTCTGTGGGATTTGATCCACAGCAGACGAATCAGATCACTTTGAATCGATATGTAAACTAGATCACAGACGATCGAGAATTTCGCACAATTGTTTGTGATCCTATGTTATCTTAAACTGTCTTCATGATTATTTTGCATGGTCAGAGTTTCATTGCAAACTTTTCGGCGCAATAAAATTTTCTTACAAATGCAAAGCTATACATTCAACAAACATCAGGCAAGACAAAGTATTTACAAACATATCACAACCAAAACAATGTCATATCTTACCACGTTCTCAAAGTTCCTCCTTTTTGCCTTCATTTTGCCCTTTATTCGCCTTTATCACCTTAGCTAGTTCGATATTGAATCGTAAATATGAATTCGGCGGTATCACTAGTGGACGTTCCTTTTCACCGTATGCTTCTCAATGAATAATGGAGAATTGATGTTCACATCTTGAAATACGATTTCTACCCATCGAAATTTCAAAAATATTTCAAGTGAATTGAAATTTAAAGAGATTTATGCGGTTTCCGGTCAATTTGCCTAAAGACATTTTGCCTAACGGACCGTTTGCCTAACTTACGGTTTTTGAATGGATTTTTCACCTAACAGGCAAACTGCCCGTAAGGTAAATAGTGCGTTAGGCAAATTGTCGTTAGGCAACGCGTCTTTAGGCAAACTGTCGTTAGGCAAAATGCCTTTAGGCAGATTGATCGATCACGGTTTCATGTATTCAATCCATTGATATTAAGAATTAGAAGTGTTAAAGTAAATCTTATCTGATCAAAAGAAACAAGGAAATGTGAAAATCGTTCATTTGAACGAACCTACCTAAATCGGGTGGTATGATAACTTTTGATGAAGGGGAACAAACAGCACGGTTCTGAATCTCAAAACCTCTTTTTTGCATCTCAAAAACGAACCTCTTTTCATTTCACTTCAAAATTTTTGAATGACTTCTGCAAGCAAAATTATCTGTAGCAAAGCACTCATGCTTATCAGTTAAGTGGTGATAACTATTTCCATAAGATCGCATTCAACTGTCCAGATGCCAGTTTGAAGATGAATGGCTTTTTACGTGCCTCACTGGTGTGAAGAAATGGACCATGTAAGGGAATGAATTTGAGAACGTGTTTGTTTGGACCTAGGA